ATCCACTCACCTCAGCCTCCCAAAGGTGCGGGATTACAGGCTGAGCCACCGAGCCAGGCCAGTATTCTTCTCTTAACCAAGACAGTGGGTAGGTCTAAGACGTTAGAAAATGGGACAGGGTGGGGTGTGGTGGTTCACACCTGTAATCCCAACACTTTGGGAAGCTGAGGTGGGAGGATCACTTAAGCCCAGGAGCTTGAGACCAGCTGGGGCAACATAGTAAGATCCCTCCCATGTACACAAAAACAAAAAAATAAAATAGCCAGTGTGATGGCGCATTCCTGTAATCCCAGCTGCTCAGGAGGCTGAGGCAGGAGGATCACCTGAGGCCAGGAATTCAAAGCTGCAGCGAACCAGGATTGTGCTGCCACTTCACTCCAGCCTGAGTTACAGAGTGAGACACTGTCTCAACAAACAAAAACAACCCACAAAAAACAGGTCAGGAGCCTTAGTTCCTCACATAAATAACTAATCTAAGGTGGAAAGTATTTATTTATTTATTTTTGAGTCAGGGTTTCACTCCGTCACCCAGGCTGAAGTGCAGTGGTGTGATCCTTGTTCACTGCAGACTTGAACTCCTGGGCTTAGGGGATCTTCCCACCTCAGCCTCCTGAGTAGCTTGGACCACAGGTGCATATCACCATGCTTGGCTAATTTTTTGTAGAGATGAGGTCTTGTTATGTTGCCCAGGCGAGTCTTGAACTCCTGGCTGAACTTGAACTCCCAAACTACTGGGATTACAGATGTGAGCCACTGTGCCCAGCTTGGAAAGTATTTAACATTTGAGAAAGAAACAGAGAATGTTCAGGGTAGGAGGTCTCTTTCTTAGGGAAGAAGAGGTGGTAGATCAAGGAAGGTCTCCCAGGAGGGTGAGTTTGCTCTGGGTCTCAGACAGCAGGTTGGATGTTGATAAGCAGCGGTGGAAGGGAAGGCAGCAGGATAGCTTGAGCAAAGACTGGGAGAGAGCAAAGTTCAGGAAGATAAAGGGAAGAGCTGGAAGGGGCTCAGGGCCTCAGAGGCTAGAGGGGAAGGTCCAGGAAGAGACTGGTCCAGGACCTTGGGTGCCAGCTGGAAGAGCTTGGGTTTTATCCTGGGGGCAGTGGGGAGCTATAGGAGGTATCTGAGCAGGTGAGGAACAGGTCAGTTTGTTAGAGAGCTCTCTGGATCCTATGGAGCGGGCACTAGCTGATACCCTGAAGGAGGTTGAAGGGAGGCCTCTGCAAAATGGGAATATGAATGGTGGGAATTAAATGAGCTGTCGTGAAATAGAAGGGCTGAATCCACCGTCCCAAATTGACTGTCTATTCCGTTGTCTTTTCCACCAGAGGCAATAAATGATTACTCCTGCTTATTCGTGGATCACTTAAAATATTCTGGGCCGTGGGCTAGTGCTACATATCTAACTTCTAATTGTTATGATATCCGTTGCCATTCTAGATTCCTCTGCATGACAGTTAACACTATCTGTCATTTTCTTGTTGACATATTTACCGCACTACACTACATTGTGAGCTCCACCGGGCAGGGAGTGTCGTCTGCCTTTTCACTGCTGTGTCCTCAGTGCCTAAATCAGGGCCTGGCACACAGTATATGCTAAAAACAAAAAAACTAAAATACAAACCCTCCGCAGGAATGAATGAATGAATGAATGAATGTGAGCAAATGAAATGATATGCTCTTCAAGGTAGAGATCATTATTCTCCCTTTCCCCCTCTTTTTTTTTTTTTTTAAGTTGGAGCGCAATGGCATGATCACAGCTCACCACAGTCTCGATCTCCTGGACTCAGGCAATCCTCCCACCTCAACCTTCCAAGTAGCTGGGACTATAAGCATGCGCCACCATGCCAGATTAAGTTTTTCATTTTTTTGTAGAGACATGGTCTCACTCTGTTGCCCAAGTCTCAAACTCCTGGGCTCAAGCAATCCTCCCACCTCAGCCCCTCAAAGTGCTGGAAGCACAGGCATGAGTCATCACTCCCATTGAACCCACGAGGAAGCTGAGACTCAAAGAGGTGAAGAAACTAAGACACGGAGGCTAGCAGGCAGGAGAGCAGGAGGCCGCTGAGGTGGATGTCCAGGTAGAAGAGAATGGCCTGGACCGATAGACATAAGGAGAGACCTGTTGGGGCCAAGAGCCATTTGGCATCTGGACAGTACCATCGTGGGTCTGTTCCCTGATCCTTTTTTGGGCTGGAACAGGTCCCTGGCAACCCCTCCTTTAGGTAGAAAGAGGAAAGAAAGCAGTGGGCCCCAGCCACTTCCTGCTGGGCTTTTGGGCTCCCCACAACTTCCTGTGTCTGCAGGGCTGATGCTCAGGAGGCAGGCAAAACCCAAGCATCCGGCTTCCCGGCCCGAGCCCAGGGTGGGGGAGCCACGTACCTGGGGCCTCCGACTCGGGCTCGGACTCCAGCGGTGGGTTCTTAGGCCTGCCCCAGAGGGTCTTGGATAGCCGGAGGCGACTGGTCCGGGACTCCTTGGGGGGCGCAGAGAGGACCCGACGGAACAGCGAGCGAGGGGCTGGCTGGCTGCTGACCGTGGACTCCTGGTGGCTCAGTGCTCTGCCCCATCCGGCAAGACGGCCCCAGCGGAATCCTCCAGTCCCCTTCTCCCCACCGCCCCCTGTGTGCCAGCGGTAGGAACTCATCCGAGAGGGAGCCGCGGGCTGGGTTTGGGAGGCCTGGCTTGGTGACGGTAGGTCCATGGCAGAGTATTCTCCTGGAGGATGAGAGATTGACAGTTCTGCCCAGTGTCTGCCCAGCTACTGCCCTCATCTCGGCCCCCTTCCCACTCTCAACTCTGCCTCCAAGGAAGCCCCTTGGGGACCACACGCCATGCCTCCCTTACCTTGATTTCCTGACCAGCCCTAGACTCGGCAGCCGTCTGTACTCGCCTGGCTTCCTCCCGCTGAACCCAACTCCACGTGACCCTGTCTGTCCCACCCCACCCCACAGCCAGGCTGGGAGGGCATAGTAGGGGCAGGATGCTGGGGGTGAGGGGCAGGAGAGGCGGTGGCAGACCAGGCTTCTGGCAGAAAAAGGACCCTACAGTATCCCCCATGGGCCAGCAGGCAGCACATGACCCTATCTCTGGGCGTAGGGTTACCTCCTCTCAGAGACAGGGGCATATGCTGCCTGCTGGACCGTGAGGGATATGCTGCCTGCTGGTCCGTAGGGTCCTTTTTTTGCCAGAAGCCTCCATATTCTGGTCAGAAGCCTCCATGTTCTGGCTGGTATTTGTTCAGTGGGTGCCCTCAAAATGGGCACTGTGGGTCGGAGTATAGACCGATTCACTCATGTTGGAAAACTCTCATCCACTGTGGATTGGAGTATAGACCGATTCACTCATGTTGGAAAACTGTTTGGCATGACCTACCAGCACCACAGTTTCCCCTAACCCAGCAATTCTATCGCTAGGTAGATACCCAATAGACATGCCTGCCAGCACTATTTGTAATAGCCCCAAACTAGAAGCAACCCAAGTGTCCTTTGGTGTGGAATGAATAAATTGTGCTCTCTTCACACAGTGGAGTACCATAGGGCAATGAGAACAAACTAATGAATGATTGGATTGAATGAATCACAATGCTGAGTAAAAAACAAAACCCAAAAAACATCTGTGGTCCCAGCTACTTGGGAGGCTGAGGTGGGAGGATCCCTTAAGCCCAGGAGTTCAAAATCAGGCTAGGCAACATAGTGAGATTCTATTTCTAAAAAAAACCTGCAGGCCGGGTTCTGTGGCTTAGCCTGTAATCTCAGTGCTTTGGGAGGCGAGGTGAATGGATTGCCTGAGCCCGCGGGTTCGAGACCCGCCTGGGCAACTTGGCGAGACCTCATCTCTACAATAAATACAAAATTAGCTGGATGTGGTATCGCATGTCTGTAGCTACTTGGAAGGCTGAGGCGGAAGGATCGCTGGAGCCCAGCAGCTTGAGGCTGCGGTGGCCGGGAGTGTGCCACTGCACTCCAGTTGGGGCAACAGAGTGAGACTCCAACTCAAAAAAAAAAAACAAAAACCTCCAAACCAAAACAACAACAACAAAAACAATGAAGAGTAAACACTGTGTGCGTCTATTTATTTATCTTTTGAGTTGACGTCTCACTTTGTCACCCAAGTTGGAGTACAGTGGCAGGATCATAGCATGCCACAGCCTCGACCTCCTGGGCTCAGATGATCCTCCTGCCTCAGCCTCCCAAGTAGCTGGAACTACAGGCATGTGCCATCACACTTGGCTAATTTTTTGATTTTTTTGTAGAGACGAGGTCTTGCCAAGTTGCCCAGGCTGGTCTCAAACTCCTGGGCTCAAACAATCCTCTCGCTTTGGCCATGTCCGGTCATGTGTGAGTCTATTTATATAAAGTTCCAAAGCAGGGAAAATTATGTGTAACAAGTCAGGAATGCCAGTTTTCTTTGGGGGGCTCTAGTGACTGGGAAGAGGACTTCTAGAAGCTGGCCATGCTTATTATGTTTTTTTTTAACTGAAGGACAATCGCTTAACACAAATTTAACATTTTTTTTTTTTTGAGTTGGAGTCTCACTCTGTCGCCCAGACTGGAGTGCAGTGGCCGCTCCCGGCCACTCCCATGCAATCATCATCCACTTCAGCTTCAAACTCCTGGACTCTAGCTGGGCTTTGTGGCTCATACCTGAAATCCCAGCACTTTGAGAAGCAAGACAAGAGGATTACCTAAGTCCAGGAGTTCAAGACCAGTCTGGGCAACATGGTGAGAATTTGTCTCTACAGTAAATTAAAAAAAAAAAAATTAGCTGGGCATAGTGGCGCACACCTGTAGTCCCAGCTACTTGGAAGGCTGAAGCAGAAGGACGGACTGAGCCAAGGAGGTTGAGACTGCAGTAGTCGAGATCATGCCACTACACTCCAGCCTGGTATCAGAGTGAGACTCCGACTCAGAAAAATAAACTCCAAAACTTCCTGGAGAGACTCAAGTGATCCTTCCACCTCAGCTTCCGAAGTAGTTGGGGCTACAAGCACACACCACCACACTGACTAATTTAATCCTATTTTATTTTATTCTTTTCTTTTAGAATCACGGGGGTACATGTTAGGATTTGTTACATAGGTATTTGCGTGGAGGCAAGGTTTGAGTTTCTGACAAGCCTCTCCTCCCAGTGATGAGCATGGTACTATGTGGTTTTGTATCCCTCATTCCCCCACTCTCCCTCCCTCCCTTAGCAGCGCCCGGTGTCTGTTGTTCCCATCCTTGTGCCTGACTGTGCCTAGCGTTTAGCTTCCACATGTGAGTGAGAACCTACTGTATTCCGTTTCCTGTTTCTGTGATAATTCACTTAGACTGATGGCCTCCACCGGCATCCATGCTGCTGCAAATGCCATGATTTTGCTCTTTTTTAATGACTGTGTAGTATTCCACAGAGTATGTTTACCACCTTTCCTTTACCCAGATTTTAGGTATTTATTTATATTAGAGACAAGGTCTTGCTCTGTCACCCAGGCTGGAGTGCAGTGGAAAGATCATAGCTCACTGAGGCCTCAAATTCCTGGCCTCAAGCAATCCTCTCACCTCAGCCTCCCGAGTAGCTGGGACTACAGACATAAGCCACCAGGCCCAGCTCACATGGTCTATTTGTTTCTTTCTTTCTTTTTTTTTTGAAAGCAGGATTTATGGAGAGGACGGAAAAGCTCCCACAGTGGGAGGAGACCCAAGGGGGGTTGCCCACATGTTCTATTTCTTAAGCTGGGTACTGGTTTCATGGGTGTGTTCTGTTGTGAAAATACACCAGGCTGTGCATTTTCTTGTATCTCTGCTAGGCCTCCGTAAAGATATACTTGGAAAGAGAGGTAGATGAAAGCTGTTCTGAAGAATAAGTGAGTCAGCATAATTCTGGCCCAGGAGCTGAGTGTCAACTGCTTGTGTGACTTCAGGCAAGTCACTTCCTCTCTCTGAACCTTGGTTTCCTCATTCGTACAAGATGATAAAATCAGTTTCAAAAAGTTCCTAGTGTGAGTCTTTATCCAATCAACAAATATTTCCCGAGTGCCTATTATGTGCTAGGTGTTGGAGAAGCAACCTGGTTTTTGCCTTCCTGGAACTCACAGACACTCAAGAGAGACAGATCCTAAACTCAAACATGGGACATTTCTGGCTGGTGAGGAGGACTTGGAAGGAAATAGACAGACTGTGTAGGCTGAGCAGTGCCTCTCTTTGAGCTGGAAAAATCAGGAGGGCTTCTCTGAGGAGGTAATATTTGCACTTGGTAGATGGAGTCCACTCTGTCCATGGAACAAGCAGGCCCAAAGTGCCAATGAATTAACATGTCCCTGAGAGTGACCCTCAACTAATAACTTTTGGGAGTTAGTGTATAAATACTCTCAGCCCCCTCACCTCTCAGGTGGGATGACTGTGAGGCATATGTCCTACATTTACTCCTCAGTGAGAAGGAGCTCCAGTTGCCCACAGTGGAAACTTGCTTGATAATGCTTCCTTCTTTGGCTGCCTTCCCTTCCCTGCCTTGGCATCTCATTCCCCAGCTGATATGTCCTGGGATCACCTTTCAGTAAACCACTTGGGCCAGGAATGGTGGCTCATACCTGTAATCGCAGCACTTTGGGAGGCTGAGGTAGGAGAACCCACTTGAGGCCAGGAGTTAGAGACCAGCCTGGGCAACATAGCAAGACTCTGTCTTCACCAAAAAAAAAAAAAAAAAAAATTTGTTTAATTAAAAGATAAAAATAAATTACTTGTGACCAGGTGCAGTGGCTCATGACTATAATTCCAGCACTTTAGGAGGCTGAGGTGGGAGGATTGTTTGAGTCCAGGAATTCAAGACCAGCTTAGATAACATAGTGAAACCTTATCTCTACAAACAATTTAAAAAGTAGCCAGGCATGGTGGTACACACCTGTAGTCCCAGCTACTTGGGAGGCTGGGGAGGAGGGATTGCTTGAGCTCGGGAGGTCATGGCTATGGTGAGCTGTGATTGTGCCACTGTACTCCAGCCTCCAGTCCAGCATGGGCAACATAGTCCTCAAGTCAAAAAACCAAAAAACAAATGTCCTGGAATTCTTGTCTCACAGTCTGCTTCTGAACAAATCCAAACTAAGACAACACGTGCAAACACAGATGAGGTGTGAACAGAGACAGTCTTTCCAGGGTCTCTTTATTGGAGGTCTGTGCCCAGCAGGATCACTGGGGGTAGTCCTCTCCTAAATCTCCCAGAGGCTCTCCTGGCAGTTCTTGGCTTCACCGTCTAGAAAAGACATGGGGTTGTGAAGCTTGGGGTGATGGTGGCGTATGTCTGAATGGTGGAACCCTGGATGGAAGAGGGGATGGGCCCCAAAGTGAGGGAGTAGGTACAAAGGCAACTGCAGGCCAGGCTGGGCAGATCAGTAGCTTAATGAAATGTGTGGCAGTGTGCAGGTGGCACAAGATTGTCCAGATGTGAATACAGAATTGCTTTAGTGATGGAGGACAGGGGCTAGGATGAGGCCATCAGGCCGAGGTTGTGCTGGCTGGGTTTAAATTGCTCCAGCACAAGAACTGTCATCAGAGGCTGGCTCAGTGGTGGCTCACACCTGTAATCTCAGCACTTTAGGAGGCCGAGGCAGGAGGATGGCGTGAGCCCGGGAGTTTGAGACCGGCCTGGGCAGCTGGGCGAGACCTCGTCTCTACAAAAAATTTTAAAAATTAGCTAGGTATGGTGGCATATGCCTGTAGTCCCAGCTACTTGGGGAGGCTGAGGCAGGAGGATTGCTTGAGCCCAGGAGGTTGAGGCTGTGGTGAGCTGTGATCATGCTAGCCTGGGTTACAGAGCAAGAATCCAACAACAACAACAACGACGACAAAACAATCAAAAACCCCCAAAACAGAATTGCCTTCAGGGGTCAGAGAGCCAAAGACTGAACAATCGTCCTCGGGGCTTAGATGGGACACACGATTGCAGCACAGGGTTAGGGTCCGGACAGAGGTTGTGCAGGCAAAGGGTCACAGGTTAGGCTAGTGCTGTGTGGACAGTGGGCCTTTGGGTAGGGATCAGGAGTGAGGCAAAGGTGGAGGTAGTGAAGGCAGAGGTATTAGGGGCTGGGCAAAGAGCACTCTAGCTGGGTCAGGGGTTGGGCTGAGGTTGTACAGGCAGAAGTCACAGAACAGGTGATGTTGACTGCAGCGTGACTGGAGGCTGGGCCCGAGGTAGAAGGGCTCCAGGTGGGGTGTGGAGGATGGCCGGGGCCTCACTGGGCCGAAGTCCCCTTGGGCCACGGAGGTGTTGCATCGTCAGCTCACCTCGGCGAAGTGCGGCCAGGTGCGCAGCAGGCCGAAAAGTGCGTCGCCGGGGCAGTCGGTGCGTACGAGCTGGCGGTGGCCCTGCAGCCCGTAGTCGGGCCGCAAGAGACCGGCGCGCACTGCGCAAGCCGGCAGGGTGTCGCGCACCGTGCGCAGGGCGGCCTCGGTGGGAAGCGCCGCGGGGTAGTTGCCCACGAAGGCCACGCCGAAGCCGCGGGAGTTGTGGCCGCGCGTGTGCGCGCCCACCCAGCGCCAGCCGCGGCCCCCGTACACATAGCCGTCGGAGCCCACCACGAAACTGCGGGGGAAGCGGGAAGGAGGAACCACGCGGCTTGAGGGAGGAGGTCCCCCCTTATGCCTCCCCCTCCCCGACTCCGTCCTTGTGCCAAGGGCCGCCCACTCCAAGTACTGCACGGTCGCGCTGCGTCAGTCGCGTGCGGCTCAGTCGGTCCCACTCCCACACCAAGTACCGTCCCAGAACCGTCTTGTCTGTGGATCCGCCCCTCGGCATTGGCCACGCCCCTTTCTGCCCTCGCCCTTCCTCTCCCCTCCCCTCCCTTTTCTCAAGTCTAGCACTTGCCCAGTGCTGAGGTCTTACGTGGCTTAAAAAATTTTTTTAAACTTTTTTTTTTTGAGTCGAGGTCTCACTCTAGCCCAGGCTGTAGTGCAGTGGCATGATCACGGCTCACCGCACCTCGATCTCCTGGGCTCGCTCAGACAATCCGCCTCAGATTCCCGAGTAGCTGGGACGACAGGCGCATGCCCAGCTGGCTTTCTGTAGAAACGGTGTTCTCGCTACATTGCCCAGGCTAGTCTCGAACTCCTGGGCTCAAGCGATCCTCCCGCCTTGGCCTCCCAAATTGTTGGGATTCCAGGCGTGAGCCCCCAGGGCCGGCCTCTTTTCTGTCTTAGACCATCCCTGCCCCTCCCCAGACGCAGATGCCCTCCCATTTCCCGCCTCCTGTTTCAGTTCTTCCCCCGACTGGTCCCTGTTGAGGCCCCGCCCGTAACCTAGGCCACGCCCCCTATCCAACGCGCAACCTAGGCCACGCCCCCTATCCAACTCGTTCCGCCCATCACAAACTCCTCTTCGCACTTGTCAGTTTTCCTCGGGTTCCAGCCCCGTCCTTGGCCTCAGGCTCCGCCCACTCAGCAGGGCCCCGCCCACCTGTAGCCGATGTCGTCCCAGCCGCGCGTGTCCTGGTGGAAGCGCTGCATGGAGCGCATGTTGGCGGCGCAGCGCGCGAAGCGTGTGCAGGGCGGAGCGGGCACGTATGTGTGGTGCACGAACAAGGACCCTAGAGGCAGCTGGAGCGGCGTCGGCCTGCCCCGGTAGGGCGCGGCTCCCCAGCGGCAGCGCGGGTGGATGGCCGGGCATCCTGAGGGCGGGGGAAGGGGTGGAGGGGAGGAGCCACGGCTGGGGTCAGCAAGCGTTTCCCGGCCTGCCGCCTGCATCCCCATCCAAGCGCACAGATGGACCATCCTCGTCTACTTCCAGATTTGGGAAGGGTTCAGTCTTACCCCACACTGGTCCCCATTGGGAACAAACTAACGAAACTTACTAAATCTCGGTATTGTGGGAATATCCGCTGTGTCCCCCATAGCCCCTAGGATGAAACCCAAGGATTTTAGCCCAGACCAGAAGGCGTTTTACAATCCAGGGTCCAGTGCTCTCTCTCCAGCTGCCACATGAGATCGAAGAACACTGGGCAGGGCAGCTACACTAAGAATGGAAACCTCTTAGCCCACATTAATTGAGTCCCAATTGTGTGCTAGATGCTTCATCTTTTACTTATTTGAGTTATTTTTTGAGCTGGAGTTTCACTCTGTTGCCCAGGCTGGAATGCAGTGGCACGATCATGGCTCACTACAGCCTTGACCTCCTGGGTTCAGGTGATCCTTCCACCTCAGCCTCCCTAGTAGCTAGGGCTACAAAGGTGCGCCACCACACCTGACTTTTAAAAAATTTTTTGGTAGAGATGGGGTCTTGCTGTGTTGCCTAGTCTGGTCTCCAACTCCTGGGCTCAGGCAGTCCTCTCACCTCAGCGTCCCAAAGTGCTGGGATTACAGGCATGAGCCATCGCACCTGGCCTGTTTCATCTTTTTAAACCATCCAGCAAATTCAAGAGGTAGCAGTGATCTATCTGGCCTTCTGCGGAACATGAGGTTCAAAGAAGAACTCCCCAAGAAGTGCACAGGAGTTACAGACTAAACTTTCACTTGAACCTCTATGCCTTTGCATACACTGAGCTCACCTCCTGGAAGTCCGTCTTCCTCACTTTAAACGAAAACAAAAACCAGAGAGCTGGCCTCAGTGGCTCATGCTTGTAATCCTAGCACTTTGGGAGACCAAGATGGGAGAACTCCTTGAGCCCTGGAGTTCCAGACCAGCCTGGGCAACATAGTAAGACTATCCCTACAAAAAAAAAAAAAAAATCAAAAAAATTAGCTGGACGTGGTGTGCATCTGTAGTCCCAGGTACTCAGGGAGGCTGAGGTGAGTGGATCACCTGAGCCCAGAAATTTGAGACTGTGGTGAGCCGTGATTGTGCCACTACATTCCAGTCTGGGTGACAGAGCAAGTTCCTGACTCAAAGAAGTAATAATAATAAAAAAATAAAAATTCAACGGAACTCCTATTCATCCTTCAAGGCCAAATTCTAGCATTTCCTCACCTGTGCAGCTGTCCCAGGCTCCTGGCTAGAGCCCTTATTGCCCCTCTGGAATCCCCTAGCCCTGAGTCCCCTTGGCCACATGGACCAGGAGTTGGAGACCAGCCAAGGCAACATAGTAAGACCCCATCTGCATCTGTGAGGGAGATGGTCACAGCGGGTAGGGGCCCTTCTCACCCAGGAAGGCCTCTGTGAACTCCTTGGTAGCATAGGTGGCCACCTGGGCCAGCTGTTCTTGGCTCTTGCTCTGCAGCTGGGGGTGTGCCAGGTCCAACCTCTGCAGCAGAACAAGGGCCCCCCACACCTGCTGGGCCAGGGTGGAGGCAGAAGTCAGAGCAGCCCCGTTTTGCCGCCGGAAGTTGCTGTGGAGCCTAGGGTCTCCAGCCACTCCAGCTCCGTAGTATTGGCTCAGCAGGTGGTTGAGGGGCGGCCGGGGATTGGGGATCCGGCTCAGGTAGTCTCCAAGGAGGGCCCCGTCCAGGGCACCATTGAGGAAGGCCATGGTGAGCAGGGATGCCTTGGGGTCCAGGAGTGTAAAGGTCCGGGGGGCAGCAAGCTGGTCCCAGCAGCCCTCAGTTCCCAGCCCCGGATGGCTCCGGGTCTGGGGGCCCTGGAGGAAGGTCAGGCCTAGGTCACCGGCCAGGGTGACGGCCAGAAGGCTGTCTACGGCGGTTGGGGACTTGGCTTTGGCATCTGGCAAGGAAGCTTGAACATCTGGAGAGCCAGTTGTAGCATCTGGAATGTTACTTCCCACATCTGCAGAGGTGACATCTAGAGAAGCGTCTTTGAGTTCCGGGGAGGTGGCTCTTACATCTGGAGCTGGAACTGCAACATCTGGAAAGGAGACTCCAGCATCCTGAGGGGCAGCCGTGCTGGCCAAGGGCAAGTTTACCACCCTGCGCCCCTGTAGCCCTGCCTCCAGCCCCGCCAGCAGAGGCTCCACAGCCACAGTCGAGCCATCGGGTGCCAGTACCACCCCATATTCCTGCCCACCCCGTACACCATGTTGGGCCACCTCCTCCATCAGGCCTTGCAGCTTTGGATTCAGGGGGTAGGAACGCAGCTCCTCGGTGTTGAGGCTTCCCACCTGCAACAGGAAGTGGTAGAGGTGATCGCGGGGGCCAGAGTTCTGGGTGGACAGCAGCCAGGCAGAGGCAGCGCGGCTAGCCTCAGTGGCTGGTGCCTTCTGCTCGATCTCAGCCAGGGCCTGGATGACAGAGTCCATAAGCAGGGGCAGGGAAGCTGCAGGAGAAGAGAAGGTGTCAGCCCAGCAGCCTAGCCCCACCCATTCCTGAGCCTTGTTGCTCTGATTCCACATCCTCCCAATGCTCCCTGCTCCCCACCTGATAATCCTGTGACCCTCAACACAGTCTTTGCATAGATGAAGAAACTGAAGCACACAAACCGAGGGAGCCATGGATCAGGGGAGCCGTGGCAGGGTCATAAGCAGGAGAGAGACTGTGGCCAGGCTGGCATACTAAGATTGTTCTTTTTTTTTTTGAGGTGGAGTCTCACTCTGTCGCCCAGACTCGAGTGCAGTGGCCGCTCCCGGCCACCGCAGCCTCGACCTGCTGGGCTCCGGCGGTCCTTCCGCCTCAGCCTTCCG